GAGGGGGAAGCAGGCTCCCTGCTGAGCAGAGAGCCCCATGCGGGGCTCGATACTAGAACCCTGAGATCATGACCTGAGCCAAAGGCAGAGGCTTAACCCACTGAGCCACCCAGGCGCCCCAACACATAGCTCCTTTAATGCCTATTAGAATGGCATAGGAAATAAAGTGTTTAAAAATTTAAGGGTGGTATAGAATAGGAGTCCCGGTTCCTGAGTTAAATCTGAATTTGTATCTTCACTCTGCCTGGCCAGTTGCTTAACTGTAAGCCTCAGTATCCTCATCTGTGAAATAGGGTGATGATAATAGTGTCTTCGTCCCATTGGGCTACTGAAATAGAATAGTGTCGACTGGGTGGCTTGGAAGCAACAGAAGCTTATTACTCACAGTTCTGTAGTTTAGGATCAAGGTACCTGGAGATTTGGTGTCTTGGGAGGCTCCACTTTCTGGTTCATAAGTAGCTGTCATTTTCTCTGTGTCCTCACGTGGTGGAAGGGGTGAGGCATCTCTCTAGAGTCTCTCTTATAAGGGTACCAATCCCATTCATGAAGGCTGCACCCTCATGATCTAAATACTTCCCAAAGCCCCAACCTCCAAATACCATCACACTGGAAGTTCGTTTTCAACCTATGAATGTTGCAGGGACCTAAATATTTAGTCTCCAGCAATGGGACTCACTTTCAAGGCTACAGGCAAGGATAGTATGGATAACATGTGTAAAGTCAGCTCGAAGCGTGGCCCACAGCAAGTGCTCCCTGAAAGTTAGCTCTTGTTATCAGTCATCACTAATAAATCAAGAATAATTTCTACTTCTATTGAATTATTTTTATTACAACTGGAAAATAAATAGAATTAAGAAGTTAGAAGCAAAAAAATCAAGAGTCTCCTGACTAACCCTGCTTCCTAGGGCAGTAATTTAAAAATTCTTTTTAGCCGTCTCTTCCGGTATTCACCTCTATATTTTTTAGACACAATGTATAAATTAACCAAATTGGGACATTATTTATGACTTCCTATCTTAGTAAATGAGGAGTGCTGTTTTCCCTTCATATACTGTGGTCAAATCCTCCTTTGATATTTCTCATGTTTGATTATGACAGTATTATTAACTGCTGAGGCACAAGTGGGGTGTCATGATGAGCTTTCCTCTTTTGTAGAGCATTGATTTTCCTGGAATTTGTAATTGTCTTATTTTCATTATCTTTGTTTTCTCTGAATGTGTGTCTGTCTCCCCGTACTCTCTGAGGGCTCAAAATAGCCTGCTGTGATTTTTCACCTGTCTAATGAACTCCTGATTCCACTTCCCACCCCTTGGAGTCATCTAAATTGGAGCCCTAGTGCCCATGCTCCAGTCTGGACACAAGG